GACCTTTGTATATAAATTATTGTGCCCCCCCCAATATCTATTTGAAATACACGAACCCTTATGAGATGATTAATGATGAACGAACATGAGATCAGTATGTAACTAACTCTTAGTTTTAGTCTTAGTTTCTGGTTAATTAATACATTAGTAAGAGTGTACTACATTATTTGTGCCCCCTCAAGTATTGTGTTACTGGGGAATCCAGTATGATTAAGTTAGGGGATGTCTCTAAACTCTAAACTACACATGGCACAAAATGAGCCAGAAATTAATTGTACATTATATGTTACATATCACATGCGAAGAGAAAGCTGACAAGCTTTAAATAAAAAAATTCTAAACAAATAATCATGAACCAGCAGCATAATGGGTTATTGTGATTTAATTCCAAAAATATTGACTGTGCAACTTTCTGCCAAGGCCCCAAGATTCAGCATCTAAAGAAGATAATTATTCCCCAAAATCTACCAAACTGGGTAGAATATTTGCACTTAAAACACTACCAGTCTGTAAATATCCTCATGTGGACACATGCTGTTCTTTATGCATCTTTATATAGCTTCCCAAAAAAACATGCTAATATTAAACCTTGTTCAATCTCCTGTCTTCATACCTCTCTGGTACCAAAAAAGCATCAAAAATAGAGAGAATTTTCCTCCCTCCTGACTGTTGATCGGACAAAAACAGACGCATAAAAATGCATTACTATTCTCCATGGTTACAGCACGTGTGATAGCATTATGGGAAATCACTTGGGGCTCTCTGTATGGTCAGAAAGCAATGACGACAGACTACAGGGGCCATCTGAGATGATAATTCTGCAGATGTGTTTGTTTTTCTTTCATTTTGATCTAACTTAGGGATCAAAGAGAGGGAATCATTTGGAGTATTACATTTGCACTTCCTGTCTCCCAAAAGGCAGCATTTTAATAACTTCTGCGGCCTACATGTTTTAAAGCTTTAATTGATTGGCAGGTACCATGGGAACAAAAAGTAAAGGAAATTAGGCTCCCGCTCACCACGTATGACAGGATGTCCAGGGAAGGTGACAGGCTCCGGACGATCTGAGTGACCTGCTCTGCTGCCGTCCCATTTCCCAGCTGAGTGGCGCCGAGGCTTTGGTTGCGGCAGTGTTTGAGCGTGTGGGCGTTAGCCACGATCTGGCCCTGGATGGCAGCCCCCAGCAGAGTACCCAGCACCTCCATCGTCATCCCTGTGCGCACAGATCGTGTGTGAGAGGCACTCTGTCTGACATCGAGTTTAAATGTTTACATCTGTGATAAATTAAAGTTAGATAAGCGAGTAACATGTCATCATCATAGATTAATACTGAACAGTAGCTTCCCTGAAATTAACTTTAACTTTGAATTTGTAGTTTTACAAAAACGCACAGTAACACTTTACTTGAAGGGACACAAGTAACAAGTAACTTAGTAACTCAATTACTACTCAAGTGCACATCATGAACAAATACAGTCTTGAAATGCTTGAACCGTTATGATAAATTAATGAGGAACGAACATGGGATCAGTACATAACTGACACTTCCTGGGTAATTTTTACAATCAAGCAAGAGAATAGTACTACATTATTAGTGCAAATACACAATGTAGCATCATTCAAAACAATCAGGCTTCTGATAAATTACTCATAATGGTAAGTCTGTCTGTCAGAGCAGTTTACATTGTGCTGCTCATGATGAGCTTTGACTTCTAAAGCTCAAATATTTAATCATTGTATAAGCATAAAGGCTTTATTTTTCCCATGATGACTTTACCCATCGATCTTGCATTTTCCAGTATATATATTGATTAATTCTAAAGGTGGATCTGAAGTGCTCAGTAAAGTGACCAAACAGGGGTTTTTCCTGAAGATCACGCTGGCCAGTCATGGAATAAACCCCCCGCCCAAGAAGATGAAGCCTTATGTCATACTGTAGGCTGTGGCCGAGTCCCTCTCCTTCTGCTCGGTGCTCAGGAACATGGTGAGGGCTGAGTATGGCACGTGGAAGCACTGCACGGGATTGGGGGACAGAAATCATGTGATCAGAGTAGAGGAATCACACATGAATACAAGTGACCATGAGTTACACACGTTATACATGTTAGTATGTGTCAGTTGGAAACCCCTTACCATTTATATGATATGTAAGTAAAATGCATTTTATTTAAACCTGTTAGGTTTGCATCCCTCTGTTTTAACTACATACCAAGGTTGATGTTTGTCGTAATGAGTCGCCGTTCGCGTTTTTGTAATTTACATAACAGTGCAGTCAGCACTGCGGTGAACCGAAATGCCCAAAAGATACCAAAATAAATGAATCTATGAAAGACTTTCCAAGGCTTTTTTCATCCCAAAATGAAAGGCATGTCATTTGTGGAAAGTTTCTGAACAACTATTTATAGAATTCCGTTTGGGTTGTTTTCAGAGAATCACACGACAACATTAAACAATATTTGATTTCCCCCCCCCCACAAAACAAACTGCACTGATTATATGCGACGTCTGATAAAAACCCAACCGTACTTCTCAGGTACTTCAAAATGATGGTGTACAGAGATGGTAAACTGAGCTTATGTTTAACCTCACGCTAGACAATGAGAGACTCTAAAAGTGGAGACTGCCATTTATCTGCTGTCGGGGCTGCAGGCTGCGCAGGAATGACATGTTATTTACTGCACGCCGCACTGCGGTTTCACTGTGCCCCATACAGCAAAACACATGTGAAGGACACAGAAACGGAAAGGAAATGATAGCCCTGGAAGGGACCTCGCGGCCTGAGAACAAAAAGCAGTGATTGAGCCATTTTCAAAACAGTTATTTTAGAATCTGCACCGCGAACACGGCGCCCAGCGTGACTGCGCCGTATTTAAACAGCTCCGGCGTAACTAACACAGAACACACATCCTGAAAAGTGAAGTACCTTTAAGCTAAAACGTTCAAAACTAAGTATAGATAGAAGAACGATAAAATACAAGCCTAAAAGGATTGTGATTGGCATGACCGGTTAATATCACCAGGGACAATTTGTAATACAAAAAAAGCATAAAAATCTGAAAGAAATTAAATATATCTACTAGGTATTTCAGAAGTTTTTTTTCTTTTAATAAACCCCAAGTCTTCCACAATTTAAATCAGAGCTAGATAAGATTTTAACAACTCTGAGCTATTAGTTAAGTTCTCCCCAAGCGAGCTCGATGGGCCGAATGGCCTCCTCTCGTTTG